TTGAGGGTGGTGGTGGTGGTGGTGGTGGTGCTGTGGGCTAGGGATCAATGCCTGAAAATTTTGATACTATTTTTATGCTTGAAAGCAACAACAACATCATTTTGTCACTGTACAGATATTTGTTGGTCGAATTCCTCGCGACATGTTCGAAGACGTTCTGGTTCCTCTGTTTGAACAGTGTGGCACCATCTGGAACCTTCGCCTCATGATTGAACCTTCCACTGGATATAGTCGAGGTTTTTGCTTTGTCACTTTTAGCACAAAAGAAGGGGCCCAGGAAGCTGTGAAGAAGGTAAGTGGGAAAAGTAGTTTGATTAGAAATGTGCTTTATTTTAGAAAAGTTTATCTTCTTCATCTTTATCATCAGCACGATCCTTTTCATCCCTGTCTTCATCTTTATCAACGTCATCACAATCTACATCATCTTTGTCATCATCATCATCTACTTGAATATATTATTAATCACCATTATCTTCATCACCATTATCTTAACTGCAGTACAACGGTTACGAAATATCTCCTGGAAAATTTCTTAAAGCAAACATATCAGTGGCCAACGTCAGGCTTTTTGTTGGAAACATCCCAAAAAATAAGAGCAGGGATGATATATTAGAGGAATTCAAGAAGCATGCTGGTTTGTGATTGGTCAATTTCATTTTTTTGGTCTGTTTGATTGGTCATTTTTTTCTATTTTAAATGAAAAAGGTTTTTTTTATTGGTCGGTTGATTTGATAGGTCAGTTTTACTTTTGGTCAAATAGATCCAGTGATTTTATTGGTCGGTTTCATTTGACAGCAACAGACCAGGTCATGTTGTCCTGTCAATAATGTAATTGTCAGGCTGGTTTTGCTTTGCCATTTCATAATAATTATAACACAGCAATGAGAATAGAAATAATTATATTAATTATTACAACAATACTGTAATTGTAGTTGGCTTAAATAAATGCTAACTAATCCTACAAAACTGATTGTCAATTTCAAATGTCTTTTTTAGTATTTCGTTCTTTCGGATAATATTTATAAAAATTATATATATTTATACATATATATACATATATATATTTATATACACACACATAAAACAACAGTATTAATGGTATAATGTTCCTCTCATGTTATAACACATTGTTTTGTGTGGGTAAGAGTTTTTTCATATTTAATTTTAACTACATTTTGTCATTAAACAAATTTGTGTATGCTGTCGGTCTGTGTGTGTGCGTGTTTGTTTGTGTGTGTGTTTGTTTGTCTGTGTGTGTGCGTGTGTGTGTGCGTGTTTGTGTGCGTGTTTGTGTGTTGTGTATACACACGACATACATGCAGTTGTACATATGGGTCTTCAATTACTTATTCACAACACACAATGCTTAACTGCAAATGCTGTGATATATAGCTGTTGTATATACTACATTCATTCACACACGCTCACATATAGATGCACATACACAGTGAATCATTTATGACCTTAGTCAAAAAATTAAAAAGAATATCTCATTATAATAGTAGGTATATGGGTGCGTGTGTGCGTTAGTATTGTACACAAATGTTTAGTGTGTTTGTATGTTTTTAGTGTGTGTGTGTGTGAGTGTTTGTGTGTGGTGTGTGTGTATATGTGTAAAAGTGTGAGTTCTTGCTGCTCGTTGTGCAATATTGTTTCTATTTATAAGTGCAGAGGATGGTGTGTTTGCATGCTGTTGAGTAGTTAAGGACAGGTCTTTCTTTCTCTTTTTTCACTTCTTTCCTTGGTTTTGGTTGTTGCCCGTCAGGTTGTATGTCGGGTTGTATGTCTGGTTGTATGTCGGGTTGTTTGTCTGGTTGTATGTCGTTTGTTTGTCTGGTTTTATGTCTGGTTGTATGTCTGGTGGTATGTCTGGTTGTATTTTCGTCTTGCTTTCTGTATACTTCCTTGGTATGTTTGTTTGTTTGTTTGTTTGCTCGTTTAAATGTTTGTGTTTCAGATCTCTTTGCATTTATTTGTTTATATTACTTTTTGGTGATTTTGTTTTTGGTGTCTTTCTGTTTTAAGATGTTTGATAGTTTGTTCGTTTGTTTGTTTGTGTGTTCGTGTGTGTGTGTTTGTATGTGTGTCGTTGTTCAGCAGACACTTTTAATAATAGTTTTCTTTCTTTTTTGGTAATATGATAATTATGTTTCTGAATATATTAAATAGTTAAAAAAGACCACATCCATACCTTCCATGATGAATGAATTCATTGAGGGAACTTTTTTCATATCTCAAGGTCTTTTGTGAAATATTGATGCACAGTGTACAGTCATTTTGACCATCATCATCATAATCGTTTTCGTATCATCATCATCATCATCGTCGTC